GGAAAACCTCAGTATCATAAAAGAATGACTTAAAAAAATAAACCCATAATTAAAGATTTCTGGTTTGTACATTTGCATGTTTTTCCTCTGCTGAAAACTTAAGTTTTGTGATCTTACCTGGTGCCGCTGCTGTGCGGGTGACTTAACTGAGGAAGGGCCGTGGCACAGCTAGTGGTACCTGACTGCTGTGTTTCGTATGACACAGAGGAATTGGGAAGCGTGGTTCCAAGGAGGAGAGTGTGACGGGGTCTCCTGATGTCATGGGCAGGGTCGTGGACTGTCAGATATTGTATATTTTTTCTCTATAATTGGAACATTTATAGATGTTTCTTGCTTTTGAGCCAGGTACCTTTTAAACAAGCGCCTTCTGATTAAAAAAAACAAATTAATGCCTTCTGTCCTGCAAGCTATAAATACCCATTGATTAATTTAATTTTGGTTTGAGAATTTTGTCTTTATGTGGTTTGTTTCTCTTTCCATCTTAGGATGCCATATCTGTGTTTGTGCTTTTAACCGTACAGCTTGTCAGAGGGCTGTGCACTGGCTTCTTCGGGGCTTGGTAGCTTTTATTCTGGGAAAATCTTCACTGCAGTATTATGGACTGTGTTGTTATATCCATAAGTTGCATTTTGTTAACAGATTCATTTGTTCTGGTGACAGGTTTGTGACTCTGCTGAGTACAGGAACAAGGAGATGGCTCAAAGGAGAGTTTTATTAGGATACATTTATAATTTTATCTTACAGTATTAGAAGTTTGTGTCAGAGGAAGGTTTTAATTCCATCTCCTGAATTATAGTTCAGTGCCTTAACTTTATTCCATTCATGTTTTCTAAGCCTTTTTTATATCTTCCCAAAGATACAACTTCATCCTTCTTCTTCAGAGTTTCTACCTTGGCATGAAAGGAAATTTGTATGTCTTGCACTTCATTTCTTACTTGGCAGAAAAAGGGAAGATGATCATACTTGGGCTTATTATGAAGAGATACAAAAAAAAGTCTTAATAGTAGTATGAAATGTACTGAGTCCTTTTTAGTTATCAGTGCATAAAGGTCACATAGGTTATAATTGGGATAGGACTTTTTTAATTTCATAACTTCGTGATGACTTAGCTGAGTTCTTTGTTGCAAAACCAGCAGGCACCGACTGTAGCCTTGCACTTGGTGTTCATCACAAATTAAAGGGCATGCTACACATGTGAGCACTGAAATAACTTACTGCTGTGCTGCAGGGGGGCCTTCTCAAAGGCCGGCAGAATAACTGGGAAAATGTGCCTTTTTGGCCCTCAGCTTGTTAATTGGCTGTTTCACAACAATCTGTGCTACTACTTGGGATTACAAATGTCATAATTAGTTTGCTTTCATGGATCTGGTTTTAAGGTTCAAGTATGCTGAAAGCAAGTATTATGAGTAGATCTGAAATGATGGCCTGTGGCTGAACTGTTGCTATGGGTGACCTAAAGGCTGCAAAAGATACAGATCATCGGTGTGAAGTGTCACATTTCTTTTATGACCACTTGTACCGAGTTGCATTGAGCCAAACCTAAAGTTGTTGCTTCTGGTGATGACTGCATGGTCAAAATGTGTTTGATTAGTAAGGCATCTCCAGATCAACATAACACTGTGGCAAATACTTAACCTGCCATTAATAAGGCCATAAAATAATGCTGAAGCCTGAAAAACTTACAGTACTATTCTGGCTCTGTTTATTCATGTGTTTTTCCAGTTGGAGAGGAGAATCTAGTGAAGCTGATTTTGCGTTTGAGGCTTTCAGTATTGCAGTGCTTTTCAAACTCTGCAGGAAAATCTTTTTTCTCTCCCCTCCCCTTTTTAGAGTAACACTTTTCACAAGCTTCTCCAAACTACACAAATATTTTTACAGGCCTTGAAAACCTTTACTAAAAGTTTGTTTTTACAGAATCTGAACTTCTGTCCCAGTATGATGCTGTAGGAGTTGGTGTGTTTTTTCATCAAGAGAAAGTCACGAAGCATAATGAGGCCATTTTGCAGTAATTAATATTATTGTTCAGATATTTCACACAGCTGTTTCTTGTTAAATGTGTGGTGAAAGCTGTATGCTTGGGCACATCTCAAAAGTGCATTTCCCCCAGTCCCTGCCCAGAGCACTTCTCCATGTTATGGCTTCCCCAGAGGGCAAGGAGTTGCACTGAAGGTTTTTGAAGCTGTTCACAAGCCTGATTTTGGCCTAATAAGTCGGGAGGGCTGTATTTTGGATACTTGATTCTGGGATGAAATTAAACATTTCACCTCAGTCTTTACGACTACAGAGGTTTCTGTATTCCTGGAAGTCTGGAGTTATTAGTGAATTATGAGAGGAGGTCTTTTGGTTTTTGGGGTTTTTTTGTGTGTTTTTTTTTTTTTTTTCCTTTGTGCAAAATGGCAACAGACACATAATTTCTGAGAAACCATTTTATCTTCTTTGGAGTGCAGCATTTGCATTAATGTGGCTTCAGTTATGTATACAAAGTAGTGCATTTACAAGCAACTCGTACTGATGTCTGCCTGTATCTAGGGAAAAATCAGATTAAATAATTTTAATGCTTAAAAAAGGGTTTGCAGCAATTATCCTAAAGATTTCATGTTCCTGGTATTCTTATTGTTGGAGTTTCTTCAGTCCTGTCTTTAGGGAACAACAGAAGTAAACCAAGAAACACTTAATTTGTATTGCAAAAACCCTCTTTTTTTTTCCCCCACAACAAAAAGCCAAATAAACAGCAACCTCCCTCTGAACCTTCAGACATGTTCCCGCTCCAAAATTTACAGTCCCTTCAAACATTTATTCTGGTGGTTTAAAAGGTCAAGCTTTTTAAAACTGCATCATTAAATAGAAAAAACTATATATTCTGTAAAGGCAGGTAGGTGAATGAAGCTCGTGGCTCAGATGATGTACGCCAGTATTGCCCATTAGACTTGCCCCACTAAGGTATAATACCAGTCTTGCCGTATGCAACCAGGTATGTGTTTCTTATGAACCCTTCAAAGCAAGAAATGGGCAAACACAAACCGGTGCAAGTCCTTGGTTGAGCACTTTTGAGTGCATGGAGTGCAGCTGTTGGTTCCTCTAGCTGGGCTTTTATCATGGGCAGATCTCTGTGTAGTGTGTTCAAATATAAATTATTTTTAACAAATTCCTAAAATAATGTCTGGGATGCAAGCAGAAGGAAGGAGAGGTTCCAGCCTAGTTCATTTTTGGACACAGCGATAGTCTTGTACCAGATGAGTCATATCCTTTGTTCGGACACCTGATGGACACATCAGTGCCAGCTTGTGACACCCTGCTTGTTCTTCTTTAGTTGCTGCAGTTCTTTGGCAAAAGTCTTTAAACATCCCAAGAAGGTGAGAAGCCGTTTCTCAGCTATTCCTCATGTTTGATGCCTGTGTTGCAATGATATTACTTCCTGTGACGGAAGTATAATTGCTCTTAAAAATCCCTGTTTAGTGGAACTGTGGATGAAAGCAGAGCATTGCACAGAAGAATACTACTCATCTGGTCTCACTTCTAATTGCTCGTTTTTAAGTGAGAGGGTTTGCAGATGCAGGTTTCACTGGCAATAATGGCCATCCAGAATAGAGGAAAACCAAGGGATTTTGGCAGATCCAATTTCTTGTGTTGTACTGTTACTGAAATGGTTGTGTTTGTTTTTAGCAGAAATCTGAATTGTACTACCTGTGCAAGCTGGCTTGAGCTGCAGGGAATGGGCATATGTTTTCTGTGAGGGGGAGGAGAAAGGGCCACATGTCAAGCTGCAAGCAGTCTAAAGTGCTCACCTGAGTTGCTTTGAGTGTTAGGACAGCACGTACTTTGCTTCCTTTTCCTCCTATTCTTCTCCAGAAAAGTGGCAGTTCCAACAGAGTATTTAGATTTATTTTGAGCCCCAAATACCGAAGTCATGTAGAAGGTATCTGGGGGACTTTTCTACGGTATTTGGTGTAGGTTCTTGTATTGTAGTATTCCCCATGCTGTGTAGCTAATGGTTGAAAAACCTGAACTTTTGAGGTACAGTGTCTCAGATCTTCCTGTTAAGGTTAAGCTGGAATGCAGCACAGATGCAACTTCTGGCTCCGCTGTTTTAACCACCTAAGGCTTGATTCATTTCTCATTCTGAATGCAATGACAGGAATAGTCGGTGAAGAAAAAAGACAGAAACTAGCAGACAGCTCTTCTGTACTGGGTGGAGGCCACCTTTGGCTTATAGCTTGAAACAAGCTGCGGACAAAGGGAAAAACACTTGTGTGTTAATCTAAACTACTGGATGTCATTTGCAGCTGGAAAAAAGAGTTTAGACTTTGTGTTACTTCACAGGCAGTAGCTAAAAGCCATGTGATACGACCTCAACAGATTTTCAAAAAACTATGACTGTTCTTTTTTTTTTTTTTAAATAATTGATTCAAATAAACCTGCTTTTCATGTTCCCAATTTGTATAACATCATTTCTTGTGTATGCTATCCTCATCTACTTTTGCAGTTCTTTTTGTTCATTCATGCATTTTGTATGTATGATGTAAAGAAATTGATACTTTTCTGTTGGGAACTGCTAGGACATTTAGTGCGTGATACAGTCCTCATGCCAATGGCCATCTAGCTGTATAGAATTGCATGCATTCAGTGTCCAATGTAAATATTAAGAAATATCTCCGTAAGAAAATTGCCATGAAAATTTTCCATTTTCTATGACCAGTTGATCCTGCCATAAGTGGTCCTTCAAGGAATTTTACGGGTTTTTAAATTGTTTTTTTAAATGAAGGTAGAAGGATAACTCGCGCTTGTTGTTGCCAATTTTACACTAGCTGCTTACTTTGTAATAAGCATTTTCTTTGATGAAAAATGGGATTAGAAGGCTAGAGGTTGAAAGTTTACTACCTTCGCCGCAAGCTGAAGCTCAGGCTTTCTCTGGTTTTAGGTTTGAAGCAGTAGGCTTTGCTGTCAAGTGACGTATACCACAATGGCTGTGAAAATTTACTTGTGTCTTTTTTTGTTCGCAGTCAAACTTCAACTGCAGGCAGAAGAAAGAGGAGTGGTGTCAATCAAAGGTGTAAGTGCAAATCGCTTCCTGGCTATGAAGGAGGATGGCAGATTGCTGGCCTTGGTAAGCAGCGTTGTTTTAATGTTCATGTCTAAGTGCCTGTCTGTATTGGTGGGTCCTCCCCTCAGTCTGCATCAAGTAACCTCTCCTCCAGCAGGTCGTATTTAGCTGCTCTGCATGATTTATGAGGGAGAAGTTAGCTCTGCACAACTTTAGTCAATTAATTTAACTATGAACTAGGAAGAGATGGGTATGTCTGCCCTCACCTAGAAGCTGCAAAATTTAACTGGAATGGCCTGTCTGAGAGAGAAAAACCACAGTGATCATGTAGAATGGAAATTATAAGAACAAATGAAGACTCTCCCTTTTTTCCCCCCCATGAGTAACTTTTTCCTCTTTCAGTTGCTTTCATATAGCGTGATTGTAAAGACCCTTTTAAAGTAGGAAGGAAAGCTAATTTTTTTTTTTTTAATTTTGACTTTTATATGTGTGATAGTAATCTGCATATATTGTTTTCTCATCTTCCTCTTTATAAAGAATCAAGTCTTTTTGGTCATGTATACTTCCAAACTAGAAAACTGGCAAGAAAAATATTTTTGAAAATGTGGTGATAAAATTTTTAAAAAAGTTAGTAAATGTAGGTAAATGAAACTAGTCTTTAATGAGACTAGTTTTAAACTCCATGCATTTTATTGGTATTGGCTTAATTTTTAACCATGTTTTAAAGCCAGTATTTTTAGCAGACTCTGAAAGTTAGCAAGGTCTCCTAGAGCTAGATGATAAATTTTAAGAGCTGCAGTTATGTTCAGTTTGCTTATGAGACGTAGACACTGTAAATCTCTCATCCATACTTATAACCTTCAGTGCAGACAAACTTTCAGGACTGTGAAGTACCACCGTAGGGCATCCTACTGGAATTTTAGTTTGAAATAATCCCCGGTGCTTTAGGATCTTGAACACAGCTCTATTCAGCTTCTGTGCAAGTCCCCACCTGTAACAGGTGTTAGTAATAAAGTGAATTCCTAACCTTCTCTGAACTACAGCTAATGAAAGACCCATGCCAAAGGCTGTGGAAATTACATCTGGTTCCCCTCGGTTCTGCTGAAGTGAAATCGGTCTGAAGGCAAACCCAAACACTTCAGCAGTTTTACGTGAGCGGGCATCCCTGGTGTGTTCCTCAGCACCGTGTGTCTCTGCCTCCAGGAAGCCCATTTTGTTTATGCCTGTGAATACAGTTAAAGAACCTGTTTCAGGTTACAGCATTATGTACTCGGACATTGTGTGACAACTCTGTTGAAGAAAATGTGAGGAGTAGACACTGTGCTATTCTTGAATGAAGGATAATTGGGAATTTCCTGTGGTGCTGGTGTGGTGGCATTCGGCTTCCTGTTCAAATTGCCCTCCTTACCCTGAGCGACAGTGAATGGTCAAAATAGGGTGTTTAGCACTGTTGGTAAAATAATAAACACCCAGGTGTGTTTATGTTTGGGATTTCCAACTTGGCTGTTGCATGGTGGGTTTTGGCTGTAGAACATGCTTCCCTTGCAGCTATATGCAGCAGTTTTATCTGCTTAGTTCTTGTAAGGCCGTGTGCTTGGAAAGTATCTGCTGTTCACTCAGAATTACTCTCTCAAAATCTGGTAAAGTTGGGTCACTTTGTGCTTCTTACTCGAGCTTAGAAAACATATGTTTTGTTTTGCTCTGTTTCTGGAAATGGGTATTACTTGAACGGTGCTTACTGCAAACGTTACTTCCTGCAGCTCTTCATTTTTGCTCTTCGGAGGTGAAAACTCTCTACTCTTTAAGATTTTGTTCTTCAGCCAGCTTAATGAATACTTCTGCAATTTCATGATCATTTTCTGCAGCACAGGCAACGTTTTTTCCATGAGGATTTCTGTACTATGACTTCCAACAGTTTGTGGCCAGTTGTGCCTCTACCATTTTCTGCCTATAAACACATTCATGAAACTGTTCCTAATTGCCAGTGTTTCTTTTTCAGTTTGAGCAGTGTTGTGTTTCAGTGAGAGCTTTAAAAGAGCATACGCTGGAAATCTTTGTGGTGAAGTGATCTCTTCAGTGCACGTGAATTCATATCTACTGAAGCCTTCAGTTATTTCTTTTAAAACATCATGGAACTTTAATTTCTAAACACCTATTTTGTTCTCTAATCTACTAGTCACTCAAGTACCATTCTGTCCTTTTTAACATCTGTTTTGTTTCTTCTTTATTACTTTTCAGTGTCAAGGATCCAATTTACATAGTGTCCTTGTTTTATAAACGTATCAACATCTTAAAAAATACTGTCGCAAATTATTTTCAGTCCTGTTTTTGATCCAGTTGGATGTTTTTGTAAGTACTTTGTTGAGACATGTCTTTACGGTTTGTTCTGAGCTGGGTTTTGCAAACCGATTTATTGCATAGCCGGCATATCACTGCTTACACTGGCGATTTGCGTGGTGGTGCAGTGGATCACGTTCTTCTCTTGAAAGCTGGATGATACGGGTTTTAATTCAGCAGTCTCATGTTATCTGTTTACTAATGGATTCAGTTGTTGTGGAGGAGAGGTAATCTTTACCAGCTCAGTCACTGGAGGAAACATCTGGTTACTAATGCAGCTAGTCAAAACCTCCCCTTGGAAGAATGCTGGTTTAACTAAAAATATTTGTGCAGAAATGTATCTGATAATGGCTCATTTTGACTTTCCAGTTTCATTTAATTATAATAATGAAATATTTTCTCTTCATGGAACGAAATGTGTTTTGATTATTTCATGAAGAAATTAAAATTGTGGCACAAGAATACCTGTGAGAATAACCTTCTATTTCCTGGCCCTTTCCTAGTTAGAAAAGGCTAAATGTCATCATTACCTTTCTCGGGTCATAATCCATCTGCTGTGGTAGTTCCAGGTTAACCCTCTAGTTTCAGTTTTGAGCATGAACAAAGTTGAGGAATTTTAATTCCTAGTCTGAGTCCAAAAATGTCAAAACTAGTTAATTGGCATAATGTGATACTAAGGCGGACATGGTTCACACTGAAAAATGAACCAGGGGATGGCGTTTGGCCGTGTAAATAAGGGAGGAAGAACTTTGTTGCAGGAAGCTGCTGCCTCTTTTGGGCAATTAAGCTGCCCTGGGTGAATCACCTTGAGGATTTTGGCAGTTGTTGCCGTTTAGCTACTGTGGGCGGTGGCATGCAGCAGACTGTGGTACAAGCACGGCTATGACCAACGTTGCTAAGGTTTAAAACTCCAGCACTCCATGTTCTACTTAGTCGCTCAGACTCTTCTGGATGGACGTCTTGCTTGGCAGCAGACAAAATACTGACTGGTGGCAGGGCAGGCGCCAAGTGGCGCTGGCTCCCTGCTACTGCCCCAAGTGTTTTCCCTTCCTTTATCCTTTTCCTGAAGGGCTGTAGAGTTCAGGTATTCCATGATGTGCTGTGAAAGCTTTCACTGCCAGATCACCGCTTTGAGTGCAGCCTAGACCAAGGTGTATTTAAAAAAACCACATTGATATCCAGGGTCTTTCCAGGGGCTGAGGTTCCCAATGTGGTGGCTGGCATCCCACTCCTGCTGGATGGCAGTCCGGCTTCTGAAATGCCGCCTTTGGCAGATGCTAAGGAATACATAGTTTGTGAAGCCTGAACTGTCATTTGTCACATATATATGTTCACTTTTATATCAAAATATTTACATTGGCAAGGTACTGTAGGAAACCCCTGGTATCACACATCCTTTGTGGAGAAATAAGGACTTGAGTGTCCAGAGCGAATTGCATGGCACCTTTCAAAATACCTTTATGAATGTAAACACAAAACAAAAACCTTTTTTCTTTTTATCTCTCTTTTTCCACCTTTTTTTGATTATTTTTTGTAATACCCATAAATTGCCTGAGAATCTGTTTGAGGAGTCTGATCTATTCTACTTTTTAAACCTGAGTGGTATGAGGAAGGCTAAATAAAAACGATGTGTTTCTTTGCGTTGTGATTGTGTTTACTTTGTGGATTTGGTGCGTAGGAGACAGGGTCATGGGAATTTGCCTTTCGTCTGTACATGGGGCTTTGTAGTGGCCACTATATTCACCACGGGCGCACTGGAAGCCGTTTCCTTCCTGCTGGAGGCTGAAGCTGGTACAGCCAGGCCATTGTGAAGACTCAGTTCCCGCTGGTGTTAGGCATTTGATCTGCCGTACCCGATGGGGACTGCCTGGGAAGCGTGCCCAGAGAAGCCAGGTGCTGCAGCGCTGGGGGGCTGTGCTCTGTGTGGTACCTCCCCAGCACCTCTGCTGCCCATGTGGCACCCGCTGTCCCGGCGCTTCCAGAAGTGCCACCGCTTCGGCTGCCATTGTCCCTTTGCCAGAATTTCCAGCTTGGGCAATTGTACTGAATTTGCCTTAACTCTGCTTAAAGTTTGGTTTTGTTCTTACGTGCTTCGCTTCTTTATATGGTTTCTGTGCCCTCGTAAGGCTGCTGTAATCCATTTCAGGCTTGGATCTGTAGCTCAAGGCAATTAATGCATCTGTTTTCATTACTGGAACAAAACTCATTGAAATACAATTTATCTTGAGGAAGATTACTCAAAATACAAATTATATGAAAATTGTTAATTTGATTTCTGCTATGTGCAATGTAAAAATATTAGTGAGTTATAGAAATGAGAAACTGCATATGGATTTTCTCTTGTAAGTTCTTTTCCTCAGAAAGCAAAAGTCATAGCTGAAAATGGTTGAAGTGGAGGAAAATACTGAAGACACATGTTTGGAGACAGATCACTTTATTCCAGGCTGCTTTTGAATGACTTAATTGCTTGTAGCTACAGAAACTTGGCGTATATGAGGAGTCGCTGCTCTTTTGTATGTTTTCGTGCATACTGTAGAAAGTCTAGTTGTTCCAAGCTCACTTTGTTAGTTCTAGTTAGATACTTCATATATTCACGAATATTAACAGAAGATTGCAACAAAGAGTAGCCTGCTTGTTTAGGGAATTGCTTCACATTCCCTGTCTCCTCTCCAAGATTTCACATGCTTTCATTTTAACGACTAGCTTTTCTCCTCTTCTGGCATTCCCCAAAATTTTCTAGGTAAATGAGTATGAGCTGATGGACTGACAGATGGTGTGTATGAAACAAAAGAGCCCCGCCAGCTCCAGTAAGTTCCTGTAATGTTGAACTTCTGCCATCTTTGTCTTTGAGAAAATAATTTCTCTTGCTTAAAGCGCTGGTTCTGCAGCAGGTCTGGCACCGACTGCTACCAGAGCAGTTTCTCCACTGACAGGGGTTCTGCTGTTGTGAATATGCCTTGGGATAAAAGCAGTTAAACACCGATGCAAATCCTCTTCCTATAGAACAAGATCTTACTTGAGGCTCTTTGTACGTCCTCTTACGTTTCCGATACAGAGGAACTATGTCATTTCTTGGTGGTGGATTTCACAACGTGAATAAACATTCATGTTTTCTGTTGACTATGAGCAGCTCGAAGTACTAGTCATAGTTAAATGGGCTTCGTTAAAGTCCCCCAGGCAATAACAACTATCCAGGAAAATGTGTGGGCTGAAGTCTTGCACTAGATGATGCCTACCTCACGTGATCTCACCGGTAGCAGTGGGATCAATTGAAGATGAAGACTTTCTCTTCAGCAAGGGCATCCCGAGGGAGCAGTGGTTTCTGCTGTGGGCAAAGATGTGCGGAAGAAAGTATCGCACTGTATTCGTTAATGGCAGGCTTGCCTTTTGAGGGCTTTAGATGCAGCTGAGTATGTCCTACCTCATGGTGGTCGAATGCAGTGCCTAAGACATACGTAGTAATTCCCTGTATGGGTCTCCCGGCCTCCAACCCATCTCAGCTGTTGGCGCCTTCTGAGCCAAGAATGGTTTTTACGTATTTAATGAATTTCAGTGTATTTTGTTTCCATGAACTTGTCCAAAAGTGACTTGAATCCCTGTAAGCTGGGGGAAACAGTAACTCCCTACGGTAGGGGGCTCAGCAGCTCAACTTTTACCCATTGCGCGAAGAACCACCTTCTTTCACGTTTGTAGGTGTAAAGGCATCTTAATCCCATGTAGGTGGAGTTGGTTTTGAAGACTTACTTCTAGCAGCAGAATGGTTCCATAGATGCTCTTCTAAGTAAGCACTGGCAGAGTATGCTTGGTTTCTCTGTGGAATAGACTTCTTTGCCAGGTCTGGTCTGTCTTACAATGATTAAAAGTTTTGAATTTTAAAAAATCTTGAACAGATGCAGACGTGGCACTGTTTCAGAGTGCTATAAATACAGACTTGAATTAGCTTTAGGAAAGTTAAACCTCAAAATTGGAAAAGAATAGGCAAAGGCTGAAACTATGCCATACTGTTTCTCTAACTGATAGAGGTTGGTTTGAGGAAGGCAAGGGGAATACTTGGACGAGGGGGGACACTAGGACGAGGTGGCAAAACTGCTGAGCTTGGAACTTGGGATCAATCAGTAAGTGCCAAGGGACAGGGTTCTTCATTTGTTTGAACGAGTTTCAGGTCAGAACAAAGAAACACCTAGTGAGAACAAACTAGAATCTGCCTGGTCTGTGTTGAAGGCTACAAGTGAATCATAGTTAAAAACTGTACTTTGTAAACAGTAACTCTTTCTTTAAATATGAAACATTTAATGTGAATTTCTTAAAACCAAATGTTTTGCCAGTTTATGTGCTTGATACGTTAGTCCCATGAATCTGAAGAATTGATTTGATGTGATGGAATATCAATAATCCTTTTCTTTTTCCTCTTCAGAAATGTGCAACAGAAGAATGTTTCTTTTTTGAGCGTTTGGAATCTAATAACTATAACACTTACCGATCACGGAAATACTCTGATTGGTATGTGGCACTGAAAAGAACTGGACAGTACAAACCTGGACCAAAAACTGGACCTGGACAGAAAGCTATCCTTTTTCTTCCCATGTCTGCAAAAAGCTGATTTCCATGGCGGATTCCGAGCACGTACGCCACACTACACTAAAGACGTCGAGTTTCCTCCTCCCCTCTGAAGTAGCAAAAATATAAGCAATTACTTGCTGATATTAAATACTTTTGTAGATACCAGATTAAAGCATGAATGTTTTCATACTGTCTTTACATTGAGCTTTAAACCTATTGTGCCATTGTGTGTGGAGATAAAATTACTTGGAAAATACACTTTCAGGATCAGTAACACTTCTGTTTCCTGCTAGGGATCTATATAGAGCTATTTTATTTACCTTATGTTTGCTTTACAGAGTAAAGGAAAACAAATCTGATGCACACTTACAGCCATATTTACCTTTAAAAATAATAAATTTATTTATCTATAGGTTATCAGAGAATAGAGTAAATAATTACTTTCTAATAATTACCTAAAAAGAAGTGCATGGGTAACTTTAATATGGTCTAAATAACACTACAGTAATAATTCTAAATTATTAATATAATGAAATGTGAAATGTATTGCTATCATGTAATGTTTTTATAGGACTCGGGCAGCTCCCTGTGGTACAGTTTGTAGAACAGGCCTGTGTAGACAGCTGGAAACTCTCTCATGGTTAGATCAATCTTATCAAACCCTTCCTGATATCCGTAAAGTAAGAGTTTCGCTACGTTGCTGGTGATGGGAGTAGCGTGTTTTGTCCTAGCAAGCTCATCGAGGTCCATCCATTCACACCTCAGGCACTCCTGCTGGCAGAAGCTGATGTGGAAGGAGGAGGGTTCCAGGCGACAGACGATGTACATATCCGACTTCCCAAAGGCTCCGGGGTGTCTGTGTTGCTGTCTGAGGCTTAGGATGGACTTGAACTCTGACTTAATGCCAGTCTCTTCGAAAACCTCTCGAACTGCTGTGTCTCCTAGATGAAAAAAGCAATCCTTACAATACATGTGAGAATGAATAGCTTCACACTCTTTAAACCTTTCAATCGTAGAAAACCTCTAACTCAAAGCATTCTCTGTTTTGCTTCATAAGCTTTTCAGAATGTAAGCCTGTTTGTTTTGACACGAGGATAACAAAACTAATTGCTATGTGCCTTTCTTGTGTATATCCTACAAAATGATGAAAGTAAGAAACTTTTGATAATACTGTACAGGGTGTGGTTTTGAAACGGACATTCTGATGGTCGCTGGCTCCACTGATCTCTTAATCCAAGATGGCATTGCAACCCTCTTTTCAGTCCTTTGAATCTCAGCCCCCGTCTCTCTCCTTGCCTCTGCCCAGACTCTGTGCAGCTGAACACCTGTACGTGTGTCAGCTCAGTTTCATCGCCCTTTGCCACAGGGCGTAACAAAATAGGTAAAACTGTTCTTCGCAGAAAGTGAATGTTGGCACTAATTCCTTTTCAAAGTATCTTAAGTGTCAAGTGAAGTTTGAAATACACCATAGTACCAGTATGGCACGTAGCCTGTTCTTGCAGAAAGCACGTGGCAGCCATGCTCACGTGGATGTTTTGTGTACATCAAGCGAAGTGATGTGATAATGTTCCTCATTACAAAAGTAGCTGAGGCTTCAAGGGTCTAAAGGGTCTGTGTACTGCAATTACAGCCAGAGAATTACCCATTTAGCCAGCACTCTTCAAAAGAGAAGATTTTTTTTTTTCTTGAATAGTAACTTCAATTGAAGAGCCCAAATGAGATTTTTGATACTCCACTTATTTCCCCAAATTCTGCAGTTTCATTGTAGTCAAATCCTAATTGCCTGGGGTAACTACTGGTAGGTAAAATACTGGCTTTTTCCAAATCTATGTAAACCCATAGTTGTGTGGTCTTTGAGTGGTAAATGCATATAGCCATTTAGCAATGTTACCTGCTTCCGTTTAGTTCATTTTCAGTAAGAAACAAGTGCGTTGGCTTCTAAAAGCGAACAGCTTTTTAACAGGACTTTGTAGAGATTTGCATTCCTATGGAAGCTTGCATCTTGACATGTCAGAGGTGAACAAACCAGGTGTTTTAGGGGTAGTTTCAAATACTGGAAATAATTTCAGGACACACATCCAAACCAAATGATTTATCCAGCAGAGGCCAGACAATGCTGTTAGTGGCCCTGATTCTGCATGTCCTTCTGCCTCAGCTCAGCTTCCATCTTGCAATGGAACGAGCTGTGTGAAGTTTACACCAAGTGTATAGAGATTTTTGTGGGACTGGAGACCCATTAATACATGGTGCCTGCAGAACATTTACGTTTGTGACTTTATTACAGCATTAATTAGTTGAAAGGCTACTCCGTATGGGGAAGGTACTCCCTTCCCATTCTGACCCTTGGAGAGAGTGCATTTTGTGTTACCCAGAGAGGCCTCCGCAGTCCTCTCATGTAAAATAGTGGTTGTAAAGCAGACTCCCCATGGCAAGTTGTTTTACTATTAGGCAAGGGGCTGTGTGACACAAAAGTGGTCAAAGAAGGTAAACAGCTGAGATCCTGAGGAATGCTGAGGCAGGCTATGGTAAGAAAAATGAAGTAATTAGGGGTTTCGTTTCAGCTTTGAGCTTTGCTTTTATCTAAAGTACCTTTTTCTGTTTCCCTGTTATTTAAGCGTGTATGTATATACATATAAATACATAATGTCAGTTAAACTAGAAGAAACACTAGGGCTTGAGTTTCAGAAATACTCAAATACAAAAACGTGTGCGCTTTGCTTAATTTGCATTATGAAACTATTCTGATTACTTGCGCAAGTCAGTTTGTACTCATTAGTAGGCAGCCGTATATTTTGTCCCTTCATATAATCACAGGATCTTCAAGCATTGCAACTGCAATTTGTAATCGTCATTTGAAATTTAGTCCCTTGAACGACTGTGAGTTTATAAGGTTTGATGTAAGGATAAAAAAAAAGTAAAATTAAGCTCTACTATGTTTTATGCTTCACTAATTTATACCTTCTTGTACTGTTAAGATGTGTTGCAGAGAATCATAACTTTTATTATATAGTTCAGAAGTGGCAGGAGGGGAGCTGTAAGAGACTTGTCTCCTCCCAGGTGTTTCTCTATACCTACGCGCAGGCTCCAGCCCCAGCCTCGCCTGCTATTTGAGGGATGGCCACTGGCTTACTCGGTATTCCTCTGGGGAAGCTGTTGCCAGTGCTGGTCATTCTTTTCCCTCAGTACAAAAATCCCTCTGGTGTCTCCTAGAAGTGAAAGGGAGCCTGGCTGGAAAACATGGCCTTTGGGATTCTTCTGAAAACACAAATCCATTTCACTGTGTTGTATGTATTTACACTGTCAGGCAAATGGTTTTGATTTCTATCACCATGTTTGACAAAAAGACTTAAAATGTGACTCGTGAGTTACGAAAACTGCAACTCGGCCTTATCCCCGCTAATTAGAAACCTTCTCCATGTAGAGAAATAATGAACTGGAATCCAGGCCCTCCACACGGTGTTGTAGGAAGACTGCTAAAAATAGCAGATGAAACAGTCAGGAAACCTGGGCTCGATACCCAGTTTGCCAGAGCTGCTGCGTTGCTCTGGGCAACATTTTTGAGTTCTGCATTTTTGAGTTATTGGAAGAATATATTCATATCTGAATACTGATACGGGGCTACATTAATGGGAGCAAATGTGACTTTTGAAAACAAGACCTACCTAATAACTGCAGTATAACTTAAGAATTAACCAGTCTGCAGATCATAATTTTAAGGGGTGAGATACAAGGAGAAAGAGCACAGTTTCCTCTCTCTTCATAAACACCCTTGTTCATTCACCTCTGCATGTAACTGCAGCAGTGTTCACCGTCACCTGGGTCAAAATGATAGGTTGCCTCAAATCAGCATTGTTTTTTAATACAGAAGTGCCTTATGTCTCTGGTTGAAAGTAAGTGCCCACAAGCCTTGGGCACTTGCACTTAACGCTGGTCTAGTGCCAAAGAGCTCTTAGTCTAAACAAGTCAAAAGAACAAGGGGAGAAGGAAGCAAGTGTATTTATTTCTGTTTCGCACATAAAAATGGAGAGTTGGAAATTTTTGCTCATTACATCGCTGAGCTCACTGCCCTGGATTCCAGTGTGAGCTGAGAGCTCGCTGTTTCAGTTTTATTTGGGTTACATACTGACTACCTTAATCCTCTGCACTTCTGGCTCGTGACAGCATATCCAGCGAGCCTACAAAAAATAAGCTGGCTTCAAGCACTCATTTAAGAGAAATTGTGGAAGAGGGTAAGTGTTATAAATACAAAGCTTCCCTGCCCTGAACATAACGTTATCCCATTACGATTCAGGTCATGTCACTTCGTCTATTCACTAATTCAAAGAAGTGGTTAGTCATAGGAGTGACGTGGGTTATGATGTGCTTCAGTACTGTTAATGTCTTTATAATTCTGTTGATGTCTGAGCTGTTATCCTAGGACTTACCAATGTCTTCGCCTGGATTAGACAGACCTCCTGGAAACTTCCACGCATTTAGAGTCTGTATTGGAGGAAAAAAAATACTAATGAAGTATGCAGCCTTGTTTTGTATTCTCTAACATGGAGGAGACAATTAACACATGACTTTTTGTTGAAGTTGCAGTATTGTAATTACTCCTAGAAACATCAGTAAGACTTTATGTAGGAACTTCTCTGTTCTTGGTAAGGTGAGGATCAGAGATAACTACAGTCTGTATGAAATATTGGAACAAAACACCTACTGATCGAAAATACAAACTGTCTAACAGTCATTAGACAACATTGCTGCTAGATAACTAGGTAAAGTAGTTGAATATTAAAAAAAGCTGCTATAGACTATATACTCTTATATTTAATCACTAATGTATTCCAATTCTATGGTTTTGGCTTTTAAAAAATGTATTTATATTTAACCTACAAACAGGTATTATGATTGTAGTACTGTTCTATCCTGCACTGGCTTTTAAGATGACTTTGTGTGTCTGTAATAACCAGTTAGTGTAACTTGTCGTTTGTTTTCATGGAAGACAAAAACTGAGGCCTTGTGTGTGATTTACATATAGAAGCATTTATTGAATTGCAA